ACATCTGAGGATAGTTTTGCAGATATTGAAGGAGAAACAGTTATTTGCAAAGTTTGATTGTGAATTCAGAAGCAAATCTCAATCTTTCTCTTTTAAGAATGTGATGATGATTGATGATCTTTTTCAAAACATTTCAAAAAACGTTTTACTTCTTGGTTTCACAAAGAAAACACTCCAAGAAGGTCACAAAGACTTCATCAACTTAAATCATCATAACATATAATCAAATATCAACATTTTATATATTATATTCAATTATCATATTTCAAGTATTTTACAACATCATGAACAACTTACATTCACAACTTAAGCACCATGAAATAAATCAACACAATTTATACAACACTCAGAACATTATCCAATTCAACTTAAACAGCTCAACATGTTTTATTTCAACATTCTACAACATGATTCATCAATCATTAATTACATAATATAACATCACTCTGTAATTATTCAACTTGCAATAACAATATGATAGTACAAACATAAATATCTTGAAAGTCCTAAAAATCATCAAATCAAATTAACTTGGCCCAACGAATTATGCTGATCCTACATGTAACTTCACCATTTTGTGATTTCTTACCTCATAAACTCATCTATTAGTTTTAAAATTGAAATCAAAATCATAGAAATGATTCTAAACAACTTAGATAACATGAATTCATCATTAAATTTGTGACACCCTCTACCCCAACAATTATAAAAACATATTCTTAGTTTAAATAAAATCTTTAGAATTAAAACAATGAATCCATTAATATAAGAGTAGAGAATTCACATTCGTAAACTTCAAACATGGTCAAATGCGGAATTGATAGAAAAATGAATCTTTTCCAAAACAAAATAACAATAAGAAAATCTTAAACTAAGTCTAGTTATGCCCCGATGTCACATATCCTATCAGAGCATGCCCAACTGAAGCCTAAGCCTCGTCACCAACATTCTCGTGCTGATGATCACATGCAACCCAATTTAAACACATACAAAGAACAATAAGGAAGTGAGAAACATCTCACTCATGTTTAGGTGTAGAAATAAATGTTAAATAACACACACACAACAAACATAAGTCACAAGCACAAATCACATGTAAACAATACACATACACAATCAATATCACATGTATACTCATTTATCATGCAATGATGTCATAGACTCGACTCGTAAATGCATGCATGTGTCGCCATACAGAAGTTTCACATTTCTCATCATTTCATCACTAGTGACCCAAGGTACACCTAGAATAGCTTGTT